AACAATGTTCTACATCAACATTACGTTATATCTCAAGGTTTTCATTTAGTTGAAAATGTGTGTATACAAATATATAAATACTGTATAAATATATATATATATATATATTTGTATACACACATTTTCAACTAAATCAAATGAGGGCTGTCAATAGATTAAAATTTTTAACGATTAATTGCACACTTCATGAAAGCATAGACCATTTATCTTGTTTCAAATGGTTATTTTGTCATCATTTGCTATATTCAGCAAAGTAAACCAGAAGATTGAAGGGTGATTCTCAAAAATCAGTATTGTGGTATATGCAGTATATGCAATGTAGATGTCTTTCCAAAAAAGGACTCCAAAAGAACACCAAAGAACCAAATGATATAAGGAGCCCATATAAGCACATATGGAAGAAAAAAAAATGCAAAAAAATATATATATATCTGAATTGTATAGTATGTGTACAGTGCAACAGCAAATAGCTTTTTTACATTTTAGAGAAGTCGAGTTGCGATACCGAACAGGACCACATGGTGATGCCAAAAAACGATCAGCACGATCACGTTTCTTTTTTTTTTCTTTTTTTTAAGATTGAAACAACTTGCAACGTGTCAATACACCGGACGCGAGCGGCGCGGCAACTGTCGCGTCCGGTGTAGACACGGTGTTACTATACTCCTTCATTTGTGGTCATATGAGAGTAAGGGTGTGTTCACACACCCTTACTCTCATATGACCACAAAGGGACATTAATAATGTCCCCAAGACATTATTCAAAACTATTCTAAATTTTCCTTTATTTGTGTACATTCACAATTAAAACAAAACATTGTGAATGTACTTTTGCAAAATAAAGGAAACAAGCAGGATGCCACTTTCTCAAGAATGCATCACAAAAATGAGCCGAAATTCTGCATTTAGGCTGCTAATTGTTGCACAGGTTTTTTTTCTTTCGTTTTGTTAATTTATTTAGAAAAATATATTTCGCATATAGGCCTATTTATTTATTTTATATATAGCTTTATAATGTTTTTCTCCATTCGCAGAAGCGCTGCAGGTGTGTGACGTGACCATGTTAATCCTCACGTTCTGTTGTTTATGCTGCTTTTTGAGTGTATAAAATTAATACCAGGAAAACAAATTTAGGTATTTTTATTGGGTCACAGCCACCTATCAATTCAAATTTCATTTAATTGTAATTTAACATAATCGTGTCGG